CAAGCAGCCGGGCGGTTTTCCAGACCCAGCTGGAGCCCGTGGCTGTGTCCCGGACCCTGTGTCCGTCCCCGAGCACCTTCGCCCAGGCCGGCCTGCGTCTCCAGGCCTCCACTCACCCCTCCGCCGGGCTGGGCACCCTCCAGCCGCGGACCTGCTCCAGGGTGGTGTCCGTCAGCTGGATGCGCAGGGGCAGCAGCGGGGCCCAGACGGTCAGCCGCAGCGAGGCCCGCAGCCGGCGCCACCAGAAGTCCACCCGCACCCCTCGAGCGCCCCGGCTCTCCTTGCCCGTCACGAACACGGCGTCACAGGCCTCGGATACCTGTGGGAGGGCAGGGCGTGAGCCACGCCCGGGAGGACCTGCGTGAGTCAGAGAGCGCACCCTGACCCCGCCCGGGGAATGCCTGTCCTGAGAGCAGGACTTCACCGGGCAGCCAGGTCCGCCTCCCTGGAGGGACCACCACTCCAAGCGCACGGGGGGCTCAGCTGGGGGAACTGGCTATTTGCCGACAACAGAACCTTTCTCCTGACGGGGGGGGGGATTTGAACCCCAAAATTTGCCTCCTGAGTGCTGGCCTCTGACTTTGATGCCGGAGCCACCTGGCACCCTGCTACAGGGAGGTAGGAGCCACCCACACATGGACCAAGTGCCACCAACAGTGGCCGAAGGCACCTTTCTCCCCTCAGGGGCCAGGATTTAGGAAACGCAGGCTCTTAGAATGTCAAGGTGGGCGGTTTTGCCCGGCCCCCGTTTTTATCTTATGGGGCATGACGAGGCTCCAACAAGAATCAGCACTATTTTTATCATGTCACTGTTATAGCAACAGCACCTGCTGGTTGTGCCCCTGCGTTCTGCTGCGTACTGAATTGGGCTGCTTTTATTTTATTTTTTAATATATTTTTTATTGATTTTACAGAGAGGAAGGGAGAGAGATAGTTAGAAACATCAATGAGAGAGAAACATCGATCAGCTGCCTCCTGCACACCTCCTACTGGGGATGTGCCCGCAACCAAGGTACATGCCCTTGACCGGAATCGAACCTGGGACCTTTCGGTCTGCAGGCCGACGCTCTATCCACTGAGCCAAACCGGTTACGGCGTGAATTGGGCTGCTTTTAATTCTTGCAACATCTCTAAAGTGCATTCCCATTTTAAAGCTTGGGAAACTGAGGCTCAGAGAGGTTAAGAGATTTGCCCACAACCACACAGCTAGTTGATCACCAAGGGTTTCAAACAGAAACCTTCTGGTCCCCAAGTACATGCTGTTCTCTCTCCCACGGCAGCTCACTCGCCAACGCAGCGATGACCGTGACAGGGCCTGAGCTGGGGGCGGGGGGGGGCACTCAGCTCCCACTGGACTCGGGGGAGAGGTGGTGGGAACAAGGGAAGGTGAGCTGTGGCACCCCCAAGAGGTCCCTGGGACCACGGAGCTGCCTCGTGGGGACCTGAATGGGGAGGGAGGAAAGCTGTGCGTGCCTCACTGCACACAACTGTGTGCTCACGCCGGACTGGCACGTGCCACTCACCTGCAGGACCTGGGCATTGGCCGACTCACAGCCAATGTGCTCTGTCACCTCCACCAGAGCCCCCCCCGCTGTCCACGGTGACCAGGCGCACGGGGACCCGCCGCGGCACTCCGGTCAGCGGTGCTGTGTTCACCAGCTCCTCGGCCTGGGGTTGCAGGAGGAGCTCAGCCCCAAGCTCTTCCCCTCACGCGGCCCCCCACCTGGCAGGGCAGAGGGGGCCCCCCTTACCTTGGCCAGTGGGACGAGGGCTCGTATGTCCCGCTCCGATACCAGGATCTCCCACACCATTTTGTCCTTCTCTGCTTCAGGAGCCTGGCCTGGGTACTCCAGCTGCCATGTGACAGGGCGAGTGACTGCCAGGCCCCCGCTAGTGCCATTGTCCACCAGAAAGTCCACCCACAGGAACTCGGACAGCTCGCGGGGGCTGCTGGCAGAGGAGAGAGAGACTGAGAGCTTGCCGGCAGCCAGGCGCTCTGCGTTCCTGAGGGAGGGTCTATGCTCAGCCCCATTTTACAGGTGAGAAAACCGAGGTTCAGAGGTCACATAACTCGCCCAAGGTCACACGGGGAAAGCGGCGGGGCTGGCATTAAGCCCAAGCTTCCTGGCCCCAGCGCCCAAGCTCTCCTCCGGTCTTGGCCCTGCAGGATCCATGAGGCTCCTTCCCCGTCCCCCACCCCCAGGCTCGCTCCCTCTCCTGCCTTCCTGGGCCTCCTCCGCTCTACCCTCCGCCTTCCACAGCCATCAGGGTGGCAGAAGGCACCTGGCTCAATTTCTATCGCGAGGGAAGATTCACTTCCAAGCCCCACAACTGGCACAGGACCCCCTGAATAGCCTCACAGCGTCCTTGGACCAAGTGCCTGCTGGTGCCAGGAACTAGCCCGGATGTTGGCTACACAGTATCTTATTTCATTTCACGAAGCCTCAGGGATGCAGTATATCCCCATTTTACAAGTGGGGAAACTGAGGCTCTGGTGTTGGGGGGGGCGGCAGGGGAGTGGCAGGGAGATGAACTGGTTTGCCCAAGTAAATGTCAAAACCAGGATTCAAACAGGAGCTTCAAAGCCCGTGGCCTTGACCCAGGCTCAGGGCATGAAGAAGAGTGTAAAACAGGGGTCCTCAAACTACGGCCCGCGGGCCACATGCAAATACAAATATTGTATTTGTTCCCGTTTTGTTTTTTTACTTCAAAATAAGATATGTGCAGTGTGCATAGGAATTTGTTCATAGTTTTTTTTTAAACTATAGTCCGGCCCTCCAACGGTCTGAGGGACAGTGAACTGGCCCCCTGTTTAAAAAGTTTGAGGACCCCTGGTGTAAATGGTAAGAAGTGTGGCTGGGCCCTAACCGGTTTGGCTCAGTGGATAGAGCGTCGGCCTGCGGACTCAAGGGTCCCGGGTTCGATTCCGGTCAAGGGCATGTACCTTGGTTGTGGGCACATCCCCAGTAGGTAGTGTGCAGGAGGCAGCTGATCGATGTTTCTCTCTCATGGATGTTTCTAACTCTCTATCCCTCTCCCTTCCTCTCTGTAAAAAATCAATAAAATATATTTTTTAAAAAAAAGAAGTGCGGCTGGGCTTTGGAATAGTAACAACCCCCAAAAGGGACCCATCTGGTGCTGGGGAGAGGTGGGGTGGTGGCTGTGAGGGCTGTGACGGGGGGCTGGGCATCACCTGGAATAAGACTCAGGGATACTCACTGTACCGGGCATGTGGCTGGGGATGGATGGATGGATGAATGAATGAATGAGTAGATGGATGGATGGATGGATGGATGGATGGATGGATGAATGAATGAGTGAATGAATGGATGAATAAATGGATGCTCTATCTGCGTACACTGCTTCCTTGAAGGAGTCTGTTCCTTCACCTGCTCACATGGGGAGACGATGCAGAGCGCAGCCTCTGCCCTGGACCCCGTCATCAGCCCGCAGCCCCCCCTCCTCTGCCCGCACCCCAGGAGCCAACTACCCACCTGGCGTCGGGTCCTGTGGGCCCAGCGCGGTGGCAGGTGATGAGGGTGGTGTGGTGCTTGGAGCCCTTGAAGCGGTCCAGCTTGGAGGTCCAGAGGGTGGGCTGGGCTGGGCGGGCGGCCGTCACATGCAGCCCCTTCTTCACCTTGATGCTGGGGGGGGACACAGGCGCAGTTAGACCGGGTGGGTGCTAAGCTGTGGACGGGATCCGGCGGGAAGACACGGGGCTGAAGACGCCAGCTCCGCCTGGCATCCCCGAGTTCAGGTCTGACTACCCTCCTCGCCGTCTCCAAGCCAGAAGGACGCGGCCCCAGTGCAGGTCAGGCCATGTCGCTCTCCCCACCCCAGGGCCACTTATGACCCCCCAGTGGCCACAGGTCACGTCCAAGCCTGGCATTCAAGGCCTCCCAGAGTCTGGTCCAGTTTTATCTCCAGCCGTGACCTCTCTCCATCACTCTGCTTTCGCTGCACCCAGAGTTCCTGCCCACATACGCAACGCCAGCCGTGCCTCTCCGCCGGGCCCAGGCTGGGCCTCCCGCCCTCCTGCCCTTCCTTTCTGCCTCTGCTGGTTCTCCCAGCCTCCAGCAACCCAGATGCCAGTCCTTTAGGAAGCTCTGCCCGGCAGGATGAAGGTCCCTTCCTCACTCCCCGCCCCAGCCCCCCCGCACTGTGCCCCTTCAGCAGAGCATGCGCTCCAGCTCATGCCCATCCTGCCCCCTTCCCTAGCGCTGGGGACCCCTGGTGCCAGCAGGGCCCTGGGCTGGCTCCCCTCTCCAGAGTGGAGAGATGGGGCTGGGAGTAGTTTAAAGTCCAGGGAAGATCTAATGAGCACAGGAGGACGGGAGACGGGGCTGGGACAGGCACTGAGAGACACAGGGGGAGGGGCACACACAAGTCCCAGATGGGAGAGGCCAGAGACGCTCTGCAAAGCCTTGTCGTGGGCTGGGGTAGGGGTGCTTTAGGGAACTTCCTGCGAGAAGGAACAGAGAGGAGGACCTTTCTGTGGAGGCTCGTGGGCTCGGTGCAAAGGGGAGGGAGAACGTGCCAGTGAGTGAGGTGGGGGCAAATCCCCTCCTGAGGCGTCAGAGCATTCGCTACCCCCAGGCACTGCACCTACCAGTTTCCAAGCCCTTTCCCGTTTCCCCTCCCTGGAGCCTCACAGCGGCCCTGTGAGTCAGCCCACTAGACCCAGGACCCAGGAGAGGAGAGGGTCCTACTTCGGACTTCAGCTCAGGGCTGTGCCCACGGCTGGGTCTGCCTGCTGCCAGGCAATCACGGTGCTCGGCCTGGAGGGGCGGTTGGACCCATGCTTTACAGTCAAAGATCCCAGTGAGGACCGCAAGGAGGGGCACCCGCCCAGGCTTCCTGCAGAGGTTCCTGCCTCCGGCCACACCCTGGGGGCCGGCACTCACCGCAGGGTCAGGACACTGGCCGTGAAGTTGTGGCGAAGCAGGAGGGTGGCACTGAAGAGCTGGCCAGGCCGCACGGGCACGTCGGGCACCCGCAGAGTCACTGCCTCATCCAAGGGCACCTCCTGGTACTGGGGGGGGTCCGCCGGGCGCAGCTCCACACTGCCCACTGGCAGGGCCTGCTCCCCAGGGTCCTCCCCGCCAGGGCCGCAGCCCCCGGGGCCCTCGGCGGCGGGCTCCAGCGTGTAGGCCAGCTCGGCCCGCGAGGAGCCCGGGGAGAACCAGTGAGAGGGGAACGCCAGCTCCACCACGCAGGCGCCCAGGGATGGCTGCAAAGACACGACGGCCATGGTTGGCGTGTCAGGGACCCGGAGCTGACAAGCAGGGCCAGCATGGGCCAGAGACGACTCCCAGGTGGCACGGCCAACCAGGGACAGG